CAATGCAGCTTTGCTTGCCTGTATTTCTGGTACGTCACCTCTATTTTTTTGCATGTTCTAACACAATGTGAATTCCTCTCAAATTCCTCTGCCCCTTGGAGTGGTCTCAGCAACAAATGCAGTGGCATTTGATGAATTTTTTATCTGCTAAAATAAAGTCATTAGTCTTTAAAATGATGGTTGCAGTAATATAAGAACCACTGGTTTTCCTTGATTGCCAAAAACTCTGACTCCTGAGGAATGTCTCCCAGCCTCCTCAGGTAGGTTCATGTCTCCTTTCCGCAGGGGAATACACCAAGGTCAGTGATGCCAGGTTGATCCCTGAAGATTTTCTTGGACTGTTGCATAGACCACAATGTTTCTGTTTTATGAAATATTGAGGAACAAACACAATTTCACCTTTACTCTTTCCGTTTCTTATTTCTATTTATCGTTTGCCTTTTGGGTGGGACAATTGGGCAATGGGAGCTGCTACCTGCTGCCTTCTGCTCCATGAGCAGAGAAAACTGGAGAGTCACAAACTTAAGCCAGCCTCTCTTTCTGCTTTTCCAAACTGCTGAATTAAAATAGCTCAGTGTAGAATATCCTATGCTTAATCACGAATATTACATTAAATATAAGCTATTTAATCTTCATAAAGCACTAAAGTCTAAAAAATGACATTGACCCCCAGCATCTCTTATAATAAATCCTGGCTCTTACCTCCAAGAGTGTGCCTCCAAGGAAGAGATTCCTAAGGTTTAGTTTGAATACTGTCCAAAAGAATCAGAGCTAACAGGTACATCTCGGAATATAATCCTTTCATCCAAATGAGATCTTCTCAAAGATCTTCCAACAACCCAGTTCTGCCTGCTAACCCAAAAGGCTATTTTCACTTCCATTATTGCCAAGGTGGGCCTAATGAGCCATACCAACCATGTAAGTCAACACAATACCACTATCAGCTTTTTTTTTGAGTGTGCTAATTTTTTATACAAAAATAGGCTGGCAGAAGAAACTCACTCTCCTTTTACAGTTAATGATACTGTAAAATTCTGAAAGAAGATGTCCTGGGTTATAAAAGTGATCAATAGTAAGCAATCAGGAGGCCAATGCTCTTAATGTTTATTTTACAGGGTAAGAAGTTATAGGGAATGTTAGATAGCTGGATAAAAGCACAGTCTAGCTGTCAAGGTGTTATGCAGCAGTTAATTCATCCTAGAACTGGATTAACTTTGAAAATGAAAAAGTTGCTTCTCTAGTCATGGAAGATGTTTTGTAGGCCCCCATAAATCAGGCAGAAAGCTGCTGAGGGTGGAGAGGCTTATGTATATGAAGTCTCAACCTCACGAGGCTTGTACCTGCTTATCAGAAAAAGAAAAAAAAATCTGAAGGCGAATAAGTCAGCTACATGCAGAAACAAAATATATGATCTTATGCACTGCGGATAAACAAAATCTCTGGGATAGAAGAAGTGTTCAATATACGGCAAAAAATACGTATCAAAATGAAAAATTTTATCTGACATTGGAAAGGAAACTGCAGCAGGATTTTTTTTGAACATAATCTAACATTAGCTTTTTGGCAAAAAGACCTAACTTTAATTATCAATGTCCTAGTCGGTCTGCTCAGGCTGCTTTACTATGCATAATGCAGTCAAATCTCTACACATCTTTTTTTCGGTGAGTTGATTCCATTGTGTATATTTGAGAAAAATCATCTGCACATTTTTTACAGTGGGCTGAATCTGTGTGGTCTTTACTCTCTCATCAGGAAATAAATCTCACATAATATCAGTAGAGCAGGCTATGGTAGAACCAGTCAACTCCCATTTGTATTAACATTGCTTGTTTATTTTATCCAATGTCTTTTGCACATTTAGCATATTTTAAAGTATATGTCAGCCATATTATAATGCTTTCCCCCTGCACAAGTACCACAGATATAAATCCTTTATACGTTTTCTCTGAACTCACTTACAAATGCCCATTGAAAATGTCCATTTAAATGATGGTAATGATAGTGGAGTCTAATATGCAGGAAGATTTTCTTATTATCTTATTTTGAGAGCATTTTATTAATAACATATTGATATAAAAGATAAGAACATTTTACCTCCATAAATTTGTATGTGCAATTTGTTCTTTTCACTGCACAAACGTATTTAGGATGCCACTCAGTAGTACTGATTGAATATTTATTTAAACAAATATCAGTATTACCCAACTAGCTGGAAAATCCATGAGTTTGGTTTTGATAGCAGAGCATTTCTCAAAAATTTATGTGTGCATGCAAATGTTGGTGCTTTGGATATAGGCTAAAGTATTTGCTTTATATGTATTATTTTGTTTGAATACAAGAAAGCAGGTTTGATTTGTATGTTTCCCCCTTATAGAATTGTTCCAAGGCTCTGTCAGAGATCACGTAGAGTAATTTTTCCCATCAATCTTTGCTGTGCAGCCATGCACGAATGCAGTAGGAAAAAGGGGGCAGAAATCAAATCACTTAATTGCAGCATTTTTCATCTACATCTTTTGTTTTATGGTGGTAAAGGCCCCGAAGTAGCCTACCATGATTCATGGCTGTCACTGCTGCCGTTAGCAGTTCAATCTTTCATTCTAGGCATTTTGGTACTGAAAGTACCTACACAATTACTTTGATGAATATGACTTGTTTGTTTTTTTCCCCATTTTTAGCAGAGAGAGGTTGTGCTTAATACAGACATTTAAATAAGATAGTATTCATGCCTACTGCATCTGCACTGTTTCCAAAGTTGTGTATCCAGCTTATGAATATGAGCATTTTGCCAACGGAATTTAAGTACGTTAAGCTTACTGATTTCATTAACCCCTCCTGTTAACTAGTTTATATCATCAAAAAAATAATAATGAATGTTCTATCCATACAAAAGGAATAATCACCCCAGCTCTGACACTGAAAACTTCCTTTAAATCTTAGTATTTTATTTTTTGGGTAGGGCGGCATGACAGTGAAGCAGGATATGTATTACTGCTCATAAACAAAAGAGGTTTTTCTTTTGTGGTTTACACATGTATCATAGAAAGTGACTACTAATGTGTACATATTAGGAGAAGCCTCAGTGATGGTATCAAATAGTCCACATTACCCAAATGAACAGAGATTTCAGAAAAGTGTTATTTTTTTTAAACTCTGCACTGTCTGTATTAAATACACGCTTTTTGAGACAGGAAGGAGACATGCTTTTCGGGTTTTATTATCTCATTCTAAATCAAATTCCTAGCTTACCTTTTGGCATGGGAATTCACTGAGAAGGTAGGTGCCTGTCTAAAGTATAATACTTTTTGGTATGAAAACTGTTATTCATATGGATTCTCAAAGGAAAGGAGTTTTTCCTTCATAAAAAATGGTAATTTGAATTCAACAGAAGAAGCTTTGTTCCCTGTCTTATATTTGAATCTCAGGGCTCTATTTTATTTCTGTTCTAATTAATTTATTTTATTGTGGTCTTTTCCTCTAATTACCAGTATAAAGTTATTTATGTCTGATAACCACCTAGTCAGCCAGAAAGCTTGGGCTGCCTACATTGTGTAAGGGTAATGGTGATCAATGTAGTCAGGACCACAGTGTTGCATTAATGTGGAATTCTCTTTTTAAAAGGGCCAACATTATACCCAGGCTCAAAAGCATCTTAGACTTAAATGTAAGGACCTCTCATGATGAAATAAATACCCCATAAAATATGAATATAAATCTTGTAGCTAAAATTCACAAAGGGAATTAAAGCAAATTTCATAGAATTATAACCGTGATCCAAAATGTGCCATACAGTCTGCCAGCCCCAGACATATCAAGTGAAAACATAGTTTGACAGAGGTGCACTAGAAGCTGCTGCTTTCAAGATGACTTTCAGTGTGGGCTATTTATTTTGCCAACTCTGTTACAGAGACATAATTACACCAGGGTGAGTGGATTACCAGTGGATTTACTGCAACAGTAAAATTGAGCAAATGCAGAAATTCTCATGGGATAACCTTAAATATTTACCACTGAAGATGTGAATATCAGTTAAAATATCTGTGATTTCTTGCTGAAAAAGCAGCAGATAAAAATGGTAGGTCAGTGCAACTCTCTGGAAATCACAGCTTTGGGGATGGAAATAACAAGTTGGAAAGATGTTCACCTCATATAACACAAGGCAATGGCACTATCCCTCAAAGCTACCAAGACATCCTTCTGAATTAGTGCCTTGGAAGTTATATCCGTCTCTTATATCTGATTTCACTTTCTACTTTCTGATGTCGTTGATTAACAAGTAACTGCAGCCAGTGAAATAAAACCACGGTAAAATATTGGAATGAGTAGTTAGTCAATCTGATTCATCACAATATGGTTGGTGTTTGCCTTCTCATCATGGTTTGGTTCACAGACTACTGCTGGATTTAAAGAAGCAGCAGCCATCCCATCTGTGTGAACATCACCGTGTGTACACTACTGTCAAAGAGTCTGGGTATACGAATGTAGGAGTACCTGACATTAAAGGAAGAAAGATAATTAATTTCATATTTCCTTTATTAAACACAGATTTTTAAAAGAAAATTAACAGTAGTTATATGGTACAACATGACAAAACAATAAACCAAATTCTGGTCCTTCAGAGTCTTGGCAAATGTACAGCTCCTCCATACTAGCAGACTTCAAATCTTGGTGGCGCTGAGACACAGGTAGGAATTACTGGCTGCAGCTGGATCTCCCTGGGGCAGCAGTTCAGAACTGAAGGTAACAAGAGGCTCCTCAGGCAGAAACACTTGCCTCTGCAAATCATAGCTAAAGCCACTGTCAGGAAAAGGTGGCATTCACGCATTGGGTTCTTCACCTAAGGCATGAAACTATTAACAGTATCACTGCTGCGGGCAAAACATCAACAGTCTAGTCCCAGCTGGACTAGTTCTGAGTTAGTTGAACGAATTGTTTATGGTCTTTATGGTGTGATGGAGATGTTCCATGCTAAATGTTTTATGCTTGGTGATCTTTGATTTCAGGACTGAACTCCAGGTCTGCAATTTGGTATTCCACCCCAGACAGGAGCAGAGTGGAGTCTACTTTATGTTATGCTGTGGGGAAAAAAAACCCAAACCAAAACATCAAAAAACAAATGAACAAACCTACCAAAAAACTCCAACAAACCTAAATGATTAGGAGCCTTTGCAAGAGTCTCAGAAGTCTTTAAGTTCCTGATGGTGAGAGAGGTACCTAGCAAATTTTTCAGAAGTCATTAGGGAGTTAATCTCTGTTAATTTTAATTGGAATCAGGAATTTAGCATGCTTTTGACAGTCCCACTAGGTAGCTCTCTCCTGATACTACTGATACATTCTGCCTTAGATGTCACTTTAAAAATACGGTCCTTTGAAAAAAATATATAATCTTTCATGTTTTTGTAATACTGTATGCACATCCAACTATTAAAATAACACATGGCAATACACATGAATAGGCAGAACTGTGTAAATAAATCCATACTGAGTTATCAGTTTACATTTATGAGAGCAGAAGAATTTTCTCTTGTGACTCTCTCTAAAGTTAATAACCAATCATCATTTCATCATAAGCTATTTTAAATTTGTTTTAAAGAAAACACTTTAACACAGCAATGGGACAAAAGAAATTGAAAATGTTTATTTGCTAGAATGATACCTCCAAATGTGGGGGCCCCTGGTGGTCTAGTGGTTAGGGTGAAGCACTTTCACCGCTGCAACCCGGGTTCGATTCCCAGCCCCCCGGGCAGACGGAGCTCATCAGCCCTGTAAGGCAATCCATCTAAGAGAAGGTCACTCTAAACAAACCTACGTCCTGAGACCCTCACTGCCACTGTCCAAGCTTGCTTGGCCCCGGCAGATGAACCTCAGGATTAAAGGGTGGGCTCAGTTCAGCGCACACTGTGTCTCACCTAAAAAAAAAATCCACTGCGCAGGCTCGAAGGGTTAATGACCTTTCCCAAATCTTCGCTCGCGAAGACTGGCCATACTTTTACCTCCAAATGTTACCTACGGGATGCATCTTTCCAGCTCTCAGCTAAGCAAGGACATGTCAGTCACATAATGTTCTGGATTTTTCTTGAACTCCATGGACTGATCATTGCACACGATAACAAAGCTCAGAGCACCCTGGCAGTGAAAGAAATCAGTGAACAAATGTGTTGGCAAACCTAGCAAATGGTGAAACTTACAGATTGATTGGAAGTCAAACTAAAGTAAAATAAATATAATTTTTCATGGGGGATATAAAGGATGGGTTGGCCTGCAGGGAAACCAACGATATAGGTACAACTGTCTGCAACTGCTTCTTAATGCTGAATGAATTAGGACAAGTCATAGGACTAGTGCAGAGATTCCAGCTCTGTCAGATGGGTATTTAGGTCCCCTTCAGAAGCGAACTGCCAAGAAGCTGAACTTAGCTATCTCTTTCTCATAGCCACCCTGGGCTCTGCCTCGTTTTGTTTGAGGTGGGACAGGTGGGAGGGCCCAGAGGAAATGCACTTTGATGGTTCCTTCTTGAGTACCATCAGGTGTGTGCTACGCCTCCCATTCATATGCAAAGTCTTCTAATGTTTTCTGTTTTATGTTCTTATGTTTTGGATCCCCATGTGGTTACAAAATGGGGAGGAGTGTCTGGGCCGGTTTCAGTCATGGATGGTTGAGAACAATAATATGGTATTAAGGGGTTAATTATTAGGGTGATAAAGCCAGTGTTATTTATCAGGTATAAATTCCTGCTCTAGTGACAAGAGTACCACATTTAATTAAATAGCACAGAAAGGCTTAGATCTAAAAGTAAACTCACATTGTACTCAAATACAAGAGTAAGTCAAAGCATGTGGGCTGCTTTGTGAAGCAGATGGATAAAAATGTGGTTAAGAGAGGAAGATGGTTTGGATGTTTGAGAGGGGGCTGGCAGGCTGCCTATGTTAGTAATGCTAAGGAGTGCTGGAACACTTGATAATTTCAGAGCAAGTTAGTTTGCCACAGCTTACAACCTGCTCAGTGCTGGGGAGAGAGCTTGTTCTGTCTTCTCAGCAGTATGTGATATGGAATAATCACAGTGGTTACCTAACAGTGATGAAAAGCTTCAACAGCTAAGGAAAAGAGACTGCAAATCTGATTGAATGTGGGCATTTCAGGTTTGGAAATACATGCTACCTACTAAAATGAGCTATCGACTAATTCTGAAAGAAATGTTATATGGGCTTAATGTTCATCTTCATCCACACTATAATGAGAAGGATTAGACTGGCTTCCATATGTGGAATATTTATTTCAGCAATACAGGAAAATGTATTTCCCTAATATTTTTTCTGTATGCACAAGACCTTAAATTTTACAGGTGTGATTAATGTTTTAATTTGCTGTTCTAGTTGGATACAAGTTTACCACACAATATAAATTACTTACAAAGAAATTTGCTTATATGGAGTTTAATTCATATGCTGTTTAGTCACAATGTGTGGCATAGCTTTGCCTTCTCTACGGGACCAAGCAGTTGTGGAATTGATTTGCAAAATAAAAAACAGTTGGGTTACACAAAGCATTTCTTAACAATCTAAACCAGAGCATTTATGAAGCAAACATGTTCCATAATTAGTGTTTATTTTAGCATGAATTGGTAAACAGGATATTATTTGCAACTTGTGACTTGGATTCCTGACACAAATCATTCTGATTAGCCAATATTTAAAAAAAAATTATCTTTTCCATTATATGCATTTTTGTAGATCTCATTTGCACAGCAAAAGAATGACAATTACATACATCCCCTAATTGCATGAATCAAGATAGTTCCCAGGTTAATTGCTTCAGGATCCCTGGAATATGAATCCAGTGACTGATTGTGATAATATTTAAAAAAAAATAAATTAAAACACTATCTCAGAATGTGTTTTATTTTTTATTTACTTTTCAACAAGCAGCTGAAAATAACACATCCTTGGAATGGTATAAACTGACTTGTGCTCTCTGGTCTACCTGTGGTGAAGACAAAGTCTTGACTGTTCTTGGGGCACAAAAGATATCTGGACTCTGCAAGACCCGACAAAGAACTATAGGCAGCATATGAATTGGGAACAGTGACTTAATGTCTGTATCATTTGGACACAGTAGTTTTATTTTACAATATTTTACTAGCTCTAGTGGAAATAAACTTTCTGCCTGGGGATCCAAAGGTTTTTTCTGATGGGCTTGCACACCCAGAAGGTATATAGAGAGCTGTGTTCTCTGGAAAAGTACCCCCCAGTAAGGACCCTTGTTTAGAACCCTATTTTGTAATTTAATATTATTTTTCTAGCCACTTTTGATGTTAAATACATCAGCAATGTTCAGATGTTATGGGAAAGTAAATGGAAATCTCCTTGGCCTGAAGTGTTGCAGACATTTCCAACCCAATCACAAAAATGGAAAGACAAAATATCACTAGTGTTTAGGGCCAAATGCTGTTTTCATTGAAATCCAGAGGCATCTTGCTACTAATTTCAGCAGACAGAGGATGTATCATTTTATTATGAGTTTTACATCCAAGAGAGATCCCCTGTAATCTTTCATGGGGAGGATGGGTGGGCCAAAGTTGAGGTACATTTCTTCATCAGGTAGAGATGCTGGTCTAGCAACTGTACACATGGAGACAATACACTCTGTTTACACTTGCAATAATTTTCCAAAGTCCGAAATCTAAGCTAATAGAGGTTTTCACTCAAATATCAGGAAAGATAAACTTACGTTAAGTGCTAGAAGCAAAATTTCTCCCTAGTTGACCCATAAGGAGTATCACTGCTCTGGTAGACCACATGATGACCCTCCACCTTCCTCCATTCTCTCTTCTCAAACAGGGTGTGAACACTAGTGTGTTCATCTGTGCCACAGCCAAGGTAATTTGATTTTACCTATTCATCGCATGTACAGTCATTATGTGTATGGAGTAATTAACAAAGCAAATATGGTTATAGAAGATACAAAAAAGAAACCCTTTTTGTCTCTGTAACTACTTCAGTTGGAACGTGGAACTTATTTTCAAGCCTTGTCCTATCTAATGCAATGTAAATATGGTATTCAGCATTTTTGTCCATTTCATTAAACACTGCTCATTTCAATATAAGCCTTATTAGCTAATTAAACTATTTAATTAGTTATACTTGAGTAACATTAAATTGCAATCACTTGCATCTGTTTAAATAGAGAGTGTATTTTACATGTGTCCACAAATGTTGGCACAATATATTATTCCAGATAGCATCCGGTATAACTGGACAGCTTCCCTGAACATTTCAGCAAGTAAGCCTAATTCTTTCTAAATAGCTGCATGCTAATAATCACATTGCAGAAACATCACATTAAAGACTAAGTTTATAGTGAGGATATAGGCTAACGTGGACAGGACTTGGGTTAAAATGGATTTTATTTCACACATTTCAGGGTACATTATATATAGGGATATGTGGTTTTATACAGTAAAATTTATCTCTCTCCAAACTCTAGCTTTCCTTTTCCCTAAGCCTCTACATTTCTTTTCACTTAGAAAAAAAATCCAGACTCTTATTTGGCCTGGTGTCGTGTGACAAAAGGGAATTTGACAAAAGATATAAGACAGTTCACCAGTCTGACAGTGTAAACTGACTCAAACTCAGCAGTGACATTAATTCCATTTAAATGTTCTTTGATAATCTCAAAAAGAGCACAGTAGGATAGCAAAATACACTCACCATCTCAGAGATATGCATTGAGGCTTCAGTCCAGTTGCATAGTCAGTGGAGATCCCTAATGGTCATCCAGCTTCCTCCAGCTTCCAGGCTGAAGGGCTGGTCAGGTTCATATATTCTGTATGGTGCAGGCCAGTCCCATATGCAGTATAAAGTCCTTAATCAAAGGTCATACTTTTTATATATATATATATATATATATATATATTTACATTATAACTTTTCCATCATGCCATAAATAACTGAGAAAGACTCTTTTGTACCAATGTTTAGGACCAAAGGCAGCAAAATAAATGTGGCCCTAATTTACTT